AGCCGGGCTGGGCCGGGCCGGGCCGGGCGGGGCGGGGCGCGGCGGTCTGAGGGGGGGAAAATGGCGGCCGCCCGCCGCCATCTCGCACTGTTGGCTCGCAGCGCTTTGCCTTTGCGAGGGAAAACTTTTGGTCAGGCGGTGGTTTAAACATACATCTCCTTCGATGGCCGCCCTCCCAGGGCAGCGGGCTGTCCGGGCCGAGGGCGGGTACGCCTCAGAGGGCAGTCAGGGAAACGTGTCCTGCTTCTGACAAGTGCTTAGTGCTCCTCTCTTGGCACGGCTTTACTCTCCGCCCCGTAGTCACATCGCTGTGAATCCTTTTGCGAAAGAAAGGGGAGCAAAGATTAAAGGGGGCGATTGCTTCCCTCTGTTTACATTACTTCCTATCTGAGGTTATCTTGGGACTGAAGGTCAGCACGTGAGTTGGACAGGATTTCTGCTGCTACGCGAGACAGTGGGACCTTGTATTAAACTTTCTATCGTTTCTGCATCTCACAGCCTTTACATAATTGAACAATTTCTATGTGAATTTCAGTATTTGGTGTTAAAAATGGGTGAAAAAATGCGGAGGGTCAGTACAAGTCTTGCGGCAGGTATGGGTTGGTAGCAAGTTTGCAGCGTGGCAGGGATGCTTGTGTGATGGCAGTAGAAATTTATCATCGGAGAGTTTATTCCTAATTGGAAACTCAACAGGCTTCCAGTAGCTTCTTTTCAGCAAGATGCTACTTTTCACTCACTTTTCTGTATGGATTCACTGAGGTCCAAGAAGGTCAGATCACTTACCCAAGGCTAAAGCCAGTATAAAAGCACTTCCTCCTGAAGTATATGCCAAACTTTCATAATCTGTCTCAAAAGATTCTGGAAAATCATGCTCAATGTTTGAACTCTTGTCCTACATCGCAGAAGTTGTGAGCGGATTCGAAACCGTTATTTCAGCTGTAACTTTAAATTTACCCACACTAAGCCAATGAGCAGCAGTTCTCTGTGAAAAAATTCAGTGCTTCTGCCCATCAGCAGAAAAACTGAGGAGACTTGCAAGTCAGTTATGAAAAACTCAAAGATCAGGAGTATACTTTTTCTCTGAGAGTAACATAGAGCAGCGTCAGCCATGGAACAAATCCTAGCTGCCAACTCAGCACTTATGTTGCCTATGTAGTAGATATAAGTAACAGACAAAAGATACAGTAAACTCTTTTGGGGCAGAAACTAAATTTTCATAATGTTTAGTAATCTGTGTTATGATCAATAAACAAGCAGTATCTGCAGGACCACAGCAAGATATTTAAACTTTACTCGACTGGAGCACATGTCTTACAAGGAGTGGCTGAGGGAACTGGGGGTGTTTAGTCTGGAGAAGAGGAGGCTGAGGGGAGACCTCATCGCCCTCTACAGCTCCCTGAAAGGAGGGTGCAGAGAGCTGGGGATGAGTCTCTTTAACCAAGTAACAAGCAATAGGACAAGAGGGAATGGCCTCAAGTTGTGCCAGGGAAGGTTTAGACTAGATATTAGGAAGCATTTCTTTACAGAACGGGTTGTTAGGTGTTGGACAGTGGTGGAGTCCCCATCCCTGGAGGTGTTTAAGAGTCAGGTTGACATAGCGCTGAGGGATATGGTGTAGTTGAGAACAGTCAGTGATAGGTTAATGATTGGACTGGATGATCTTCAAGGTCTTTTCCAACCTAGATGATTCTGTGATTCTGTAAACTATTTGAGGTTCACAAGTGTACTGTGGAGGGAAAGGTCCAGCCAGCAACAGCTGATGGCTGTATAATGGCTTATAGGAAATGAATCTGCAGTTTCAAACTATTTCCCAGAGGGTGTGTGATTGCATTAGATAACAACTCTTTCTCACAGTTCTTAGAACAGCACTGCTACCAAAGAGGCAAAGACCAATCCTCTTACCTCTGTGGATGATCCTGAAGTCCTAGGCTAGACCTACAAATGCTTGTCTCGCTACTTGATGAGATGTGCGAGATAGTCTTTGAGGATTTCGATATACTTGATAGTTTTCAGAATGGACATGTATCTAAAAATATCTATTAAAACTGAAGTCTGGCGAGATCTGTTGTCTTTGCAGTTGTTTGCGTTCAAGACTGCAATTGCTGAAAGATAAACAGGGTCTGAGAGTATGCTGGAGACAACAGACTGCAGGCTCTCGGGAGACCCAGAATACTTTTTGCCAAACAGGCCTTTAAGGAAGCAAGAAATGGAGAAAATTAGTGTCTGGATAGGCAAAGATGTGGTTCACAGGGCGGGAAGTAGGCCCTATGTATTCCCAAGATTAGCTGGATTTTCTTCAGTTGTCCATTGAGATATATTTCATTTCCCTATTAAACTTGTCTCACCTATATTCTTATACAGTTTCAGGTCTGACACTATTCCTTCAAGGTTTAAGACACTGTTTGGAGGAAAACACTGAAAGGCGGGCATGCATTTTGGACCAAAGCCAAATAATAATATGCTGAAATCAAATATATGCTTTATATAAAGGTTTGATGTTTGGAAATAAGTTACCCTTTGTGGGAAAAAAAATGCAGCACAATGCAAGAAAGGCTCCAGTGGCCAGTCAAGATAAAAATCTTAAGCTTATCTGTAATGGTGACTTCCTCCACAAGACAGGGAAAGCACATGAATAACAGAAAGGTCCTGAGGTCTAGTACATCACTTTACCAGGTGTCCAAACTTGGAATCAGTGCTCTACTTTTCCTTGTAAAATGGAGAAATATGGTTGGGAAATTATTACACACAAAGGCAGTTTTGCTATGACTGAGGGAAGAAAAAGTGATGCATGGAAAACTGGGGAGAGGAGGAAGGGAAATGGAGAAGAAATAGATTTCAAAGTGAAACAGGAACCTGGAGCTTCCTCATGCATCACACCCAATGGGCTAAAAGAATATTGTAATAGTGGAAGAGGCACTGAAAAAAACCACAAAACCCAAGTGTTCTCACAGATCTACTGTTGTTACATACAGTTCAATCAGAACATTTTAAAAACAATTTTCCCATTAAAAAAACAACTAATGGACAGGAAGACTTCAAGTTAGAATCGCTGTAGACATCAAGTTTAATGAGTACCTACAGAAGCAAAATTAGGGTAGTTTAGAAAAGTGTTTCTCCATAAATATGAAAAAAAAAAATCAGGAAAATAAATCTTATAAATACTTCTTAGGAGATTTTCTTTCATTTTATGTCATAGCTTTCAGGTCAAATTGCATGAATTAAAAATATTGCTAAGACCAAAAGCAAGCTGACTTAGTAACTGAATTTGAAGCCAAGAAAAGCAAGCTTATTCAGTAGTTTTTCTACATTCAAAAAATTTCAGGGTTAAGAATTATATGGTGCTTCTCTGGTATGTGCTTTTTGCAGGTAATCACAAAAATTACTAGGAAGGAAATTTATATGATGACTTCATTTAAAGGTTCTTTTTCTTGTTAAGATAAATTCTGAATTGGTAGAAAGTGTGGTTACTGGTATAGTATCCTTGGATTACTTAAACTTTCTTGGAAGAATATGTCTGTCAGTAACAGAGTGAAAAACAAGCTGAAAAATGCAGCTTACATTATACTGAATTAATATTACCTCATCCTTGTTTCTTAGCATCATTTCTCTTTGCGTTTTGGCATGCCACCATGGTAAATGAAACATCCTTCCCTCTGTTAGTTTTGGCCTTTATTTTCTTGGTGCGATTTGACTTTCACTCCTTTGATTTGGATGGAACAGAATTAGGCTGCCTGCCTGTGAACAATAATAGCAGTTTGTGTATTCAGGTACAGGATGATGACAGAAGACCTCTGGGAAGAAGCAGTGCTGGTTTGAGCCGATGCGTTCACACACAGTGGAGCCACCTTCCATGCCCTCTTACTGCACCAGAGTCTTGGAGGACTTTCTCCAATTCCTCATCTGCAATCTTGTTTGAAGTTTAGGAATGGGAGCAAATTGAAGTCCCCATCTTCTCCGGCAATTTGCTTAAAAAGCTGCTCTCTGGCTCCATCTTCTGTTTTGTTTGTGGGTTTGGGGATTGATTTTTAAAAATTTCTTTATTTTGGTTTATCAAGGTGAAATTCTTCCGAGTTTTGCAAACTAAATTTGTTTAAAATAGTAGGTAGTCACATTTTGTGTGCCAGTTCGGACAAGCTGGAGAGAATCCCGAGCTGCAGGAGAAAAGTGTGGCCCAGAGAGGAGGCAGCTGGAGGGTCTCCAGCTCTGCTGTCAGCCCTGTGTTTAGATCCTCCTAGCTGGGAAGTTGTTACTTCTGTTACAAGAGGAGTAACAGAATTGGCCAAAAAGCACGGCAATATGTTCTGTTTTGGCATTATTCTAATTTTTCTGCAAAATTATGATCATTACATGATCTGGTAACATAGTGACATCTCACATACCTTTCAGCTAAAACTGACAAGCATTGGGGCCACTGAGTAGGAGAGGGACAATTTAAGAAACAGGTTGGCCTCTTTGCAGATACTAAGGAAAACGATCTTTTTATAAAGTGCTCAACAATAATAAGAGTAATATTAATAATCGCAAGAGCAGGCCTTTAATAAAGAAAAAATATTTTATGGAGATTAAATTTTAGGCCCAAACTCTTCAACACATGCCCCTTTCAGCCATTAAAGTAATCTGATTCCAGTTGCTCTCACTCTGCAAGAGGGGGCTAGTGTGGGAGCGAAACTGCACTTTGACTGATTCAGTGCTTAAATTTAAAACTGCTTTGTTGACAGTGAGCCAGATTTCGGCTTCTGAGGCCTCTTCCTCAATCACCCATGCAAAACCAAAGAACTTATATACACAAAAGATAACCACATTAAAAAGGTAAAACCACTTGGCAACAAGTAGAGCTGCCTCTCAGTAGCTGTCAAATGTGGCAGTGCTTTATTCTCCCATGCTTTTCTTCTCTGCCTGTTTGTAAACTGAATGTTTTCCAGCTCT